ACTTAAATAGGCAACCAAAAGTTGTACGTGTGGCTAGTTGTACTCTCATTGTAATACTAAATGTAGACCTATGTGGTCAACAGCTAAACATCAATAAAGCTTGATTTCGAAGGACACCTTAAAAAAAATAAAATAAAAATAATAGCAAGTACATATATTTTTTGAAATAATAGTTTAAATAAAACTTCAAAAGACAAACATGTATACACCAATTAGATTTTTTCAAACAATCAACAAAAACTTCACAGCAAATCCTTGATTTTAATTGGTTAATTGTCATGAATCTGCATAATTTTGGCATACTGAAAATGTGTACAAGGTTGGTAGAACAGCTCTCCTGTACTACAAATCAGATTTCAAAATTAGGTGTAATATAACATGATCAGGAAGATTCAAAACAAACATTTAGTTTGCCAAAATTTACTCATATTTCCAAAATCAGTATAAGAAACTACTTTTTGCACTCTAACAAAAAGATTTTGTTGTGCAATTTTACTATATAAACTATTTCTCTCTAGATTCTAAGTCTGATCCTAACCTAGCTTTAGTGTTCCTCACAGGACTGTTTGGGCCAGGTTTTATTAAAAATCTGAATTTAAACTGGAAAACCAGTTCGGTCCAAGAGTAAACCCATACCCAGATAGGTGAAGCTTGACCTGAACCAGAGCCAGTATAAGAATATCTTGTTTATTTGAAAATTATAGCTATTCTCATAAATTCTGGGATGACTGATAAAAATTATTACAGCCAAATTCGATAAGTTTTTGAATTTGATGTTATCAGTATTACTGTAATGCCGAAAATTCAATGTTAATAATACTGAATTCAAAAACTTATCGAATTTGGCCAAAACAATTTTTATCAGTTGTCCTAGAATTTATAAAAACAGCTATAAACTTAGAATATTAATTATTTTATAATATATACTAATCATTAAAAATAAAGTATTTTAAAATTTTATTAAGCAAAATGCACTTAATTTTATTATAAATTGCAAAATTATATTATTTTATCTAACCAGGTTGCAAATTTTTTATCACCAATATTTTGATCTTATTTGGTCTTAAAAAAAATCTATTCTATTATACATTTAGCTATCTAGTTCTCTCTACCATGATCTCAAACACATAGCTTCTCAAATGTCTTACTATCTAATCAGTTTTGCTTAACAGTAATCATATCTCTACTTATACTGAACATCTGCTCGCTTAAAACACGCGTTGCTGGTATCGAAAAAATATCTTAGACAAATTTTGCAAAATTTGGATAACATGATTCATTATTTCACTACTACTCTAAAATATTGATGTTTCTACTTACTTGTGGTACTAGTAAATATGTATCTAATTCACTTTGTTGTTCTACAAATAATTGTTTATATATTTGTGCCATTATATTAGATAGTTCTTTGGTCATTTAAGTTATATATTGACTAGGAATAGGCATATATTCATTCTCATATTTGTTTATAACACTGAAACAACATATTTGTTATTAATTTTTATAATATATTATATGAATTGTACTACTAATATATATATCTTTGATCTGATTAATAAGTTATGATGACCATTTAAGAGTTTCGAAATATCCAAGTTTAAACCATGGATCTAATATTATTGCAGCAACATTTAGTATATTCAATTTTTGACAATATCCTAAAAGCTTTATGATTGCAGTCTCACACCCATAGTCAAGCCATTGTAGAATGTTTTCTTTCTTCTTAGCCTCATTAAGTGTTTCAATTAACAAATAATAGAGAGGGATAACCATTGACAACGTTGGATATTCTTGTTTTGACATCTCAACTGTTGCTAATTTAAAAAAATATTAGTTTTTTTTTTTAAAAAAAAAAAAAAAGGTTGACTAACAAATTAATACTAACCTTCCTTAAATAGTGCTAAAATTGAAACTAAAAGTTCAATTTTTTCCCAATCTTCCTTAGCAAGTATGTATTGGCATAAATCTGGATCAGTACAAGAGATAACATCTAGCACGATTCATAATGTTACTGCATGACAACACATTTTATAGGTTGAATTTCACTGAGTAGAAACATCAAGAATTGGCTTTAAAATCTTTATATTATTTATTAGACACAACATTTTCAACTTTTTATGACGTATCTTTGATTCTGATACTTTTGATTAATGCATATAACTAAATAAAAAAAATTTTTCATCAAATACATTTATTTATTAAAAAAAAAAAATTACAAATAAATAAAAAAAATACAAATAAATAAAAAAAAAATGCAAAAAAAAAAATACAAATAAATAAGTAACAACCATTTCTAATTTATTTCCTATATCATTAAAAATGCTCTGTATCACAAGGTTTAAAATATGAGCAAAGCATCATATAGATTATTGTTTATGATTAAATAAAATATCTGTTGATAAAATAGAGTTTGAAAAGTCCTGTAAAAATTTATTATTGGAAGTTGCATTATCGTGCATAATCGCTATGATTTTAGAAATAATTCCCATTGATCTAAGACAGTTTTCTATAATACTAGCTATTTCAACACCTGTATATTGCCTATCCATATTAATAAAATTGAGTAAAAGATGTTTTATCTACTATGATGCATTTAGGTAATGTATAGTAACTGACATAAATGATTTGTCATTATTATCAGTTGTCTAAATATTAGTTGTGATTGCTATGCACCCAGAAATTTCTTGCAGTCTTTTTCAAAGTTATTTATATTCTTCTTCGAAATTTCTAGTTATGTGCCTTTTTTTGTATCTGATGATGGTGCTAAAAATAAAAAAAAATAAAAAAATATAATAAATAAAAAAAATAATAAATAAAAAAAAATAATAATAAATAACTGCTTGAGCTATTAAATGAGTACTATCAAATTTAAACTTAAAACTAAATATATATTGAGTTTCAAGTTTTAATTTGACAGTACCCAAAGATTTAATTTTATATGTCAGTTACTATGTATATATTCACATATTATAATTAGTAAAATAGTTTTATAAGTAAAAGTTAGACAGACAAGCTTAAAAAAGCTCAAGAAAGTCAAAATTACAACACTACATGTGTATAATCAAATAACCTCAAATAATATACAGGTAGATGTTATAGAAGTAAAGTTTACCTATTGCTTGGGACTCCAAATATGTGAATATTTCTCTAAGACCCTCATCTTCAATTATGTGAAATAACTATTATGTTTAATAATTCATCATTTAATAAGGTCAGTAAATTTCTTAGATTCAAAGGATTCATGACCTTTACTTGTAGTCTAATAATTATATACCATGATATGTTTTAAAAATACTACAAGATATATTTTATGTATCTTTTTTTTTTTTTTTTTAACTTACAGCTTTGCTTTTAAGCATTTCTAAAACAGAGACATTTTGCGTAGGCTCTATATTTGATTCATTTGATCTTTTTAATTCTGGTACTTTATTTTTATTTTGATGAATGAGATGTTTCTGGAAGCTTGAAGTTGATCCATCTTTATGGATTTTTAAACTATTACCACAATGTCTACATACTGCAGCCAATACAATTAATCCATCTTTATTTGTAATTTTTTTTTAAAAATGGTTCTATACAAATGATCTATAAATAAATACATTAGTATTGCTATATAATATGAAGGTAATACAGTACTAAGTTTTTGAATAAATTACTTATGAGTTATAGTAGTTTCAGTTGAAGGTAATGATTCATCATCCCCAACTTCATCCAAACAGGTCATATTTGTTAGCTCTTGAGTAGTATTGTCATTATGAAGTTCATCACAATGTTCATCGAGAGGGTCATCATAAAATTTATTGAGAGGTTCATTGTAAGATTCATTGAGAGGTTCATTATAAGGTTCATCATAGGGTTCATCGCAAGTTTCATCATAAATACCATCATATAAAAACACACTTGAGCTTGACATAATTTTTTTTTCAGTTGATTCTATATTAGTGATGCTGACATAATGTTTTAACATTACTATGTTTTGGGTTTTGTCACATGATAAAACTTGTATTAATATAAATTGTAGGTTAAACCGTTAAAACAAAAACGATAAAACTAGTTAAAAATGTTGGTTAAAATGACTGCTATTATGTATCACATTAAGTTATCAAATTACATATATCAGATATATTAAATTCAAATTATGAAACATATTAATTAAACTTCATTATCTGTTATTATCAAATTACATAAGGCTAGTATATCAAAACTAATAATTTAATAACTCATACTATTCCAATGTGATAATATTAACAATAAATTAATTGCTGTTAGTGGCTGTTCAGTTTTTGATTAATAAAAAATCCAATTCTGGGCCGACCTTGAGAAAAATATGGAATGCTTATGTTGTCGAGCAAAGAAATGGAAATTATTATAAAACGTTTGAAAAGAGGAATATCAATCGTAATGGAATCACATTTAGCTAATGAATGTTTTAGTTGTCTACAAGATGTACAAAAATATTAACTGAAAATTGACAAAATAATTATCGAAGTACTTCAAATGCAAATCAATAGATTCTGTTAATACAAATAATTCAGAATCACTATCAAAATTCTGGATGAAGCATCGAATATTGTTGATAAAAGGTTTTATTAAAATTGATACGATAAAGTTTAGGGATTAATAGATAACACAGAAATCTGTACATGCACAAAAAATTTTTTTATGCATATGCATCAATGTAAACAAATGCTAATTTAATTAAATATAAAACAATACAGTTTATCATAAGCATACATATAAAGTTTTATCAGTAGTTTTAACAGTTTATATTTTGATAGTTTTTACAATTTAATTGAAAGCGTTAAAAATATAAACAGTATAAACCTATTATGTAGCTAGTTTATATTTTTATCAGGTTTTGTCAAGAGTATTGTCGGCATCACTATTCTATATCAAACTTAATGTTAAGAAAATTGATTCAATAAAAAAAAAAATTTAAAATTCACTCTATCAGGCTTAGTTTAGGAAAATGTATTGACTATAATAATATACCTGAACTTATTGTAAAAGACAGGTGGCCAGAAAGTTTCAATGTAATAGAAAAAAAAAATAGCACTTTGGCTTTTATAAAGACAGATGAAACATTGTAATCTAGCAAAAAAAAAAATCATTTTTATATAAAACAAGCAACCAATCAGCTGAGTTTTCTACATCACGGGTCAGTCCAGATATTATTGGTTTGGGTCTCTCTCGTGACCTGGTCCTGATCAGGTTCAAAAATTAATAGTTCCGACCCAACCCGCAAGGTTGGTCCGGGTTGGGTCTGGGTCTTCGGTTCAGGTATATGGAACACTACCTAACCCTAACGAATTTTGAGAATTTTGTCTGCACTGCCAACCTTGTACACATGCATAATTTTGCCCACATTACATAATTGTTTACTAATTTCTGGCCGTAATAAACTTTTTGAATTTTTGGAAAATAATCCTGTATTATGGTAAACTTTGCCCAGTGTGACACGATTTTTTACATAGTGAAAATTAAAAAAATTCACATGCGTAACACAATTGTTTACACTACAAACCCAAAATCAATAATTTTTTATTTATTGCGCTTTGCAAAATTCTGTACCCCCTGATTACTAATGTTTATAAAATGATCATAATTGCGATTGTGATTGTGACTGTGATTGCAATTGCAATTGCTAAAGCTGGTCAATTTATTATCAGATTTATGATAAATTGGCCAGCTTTAACGATCGCAATCGCAATCAAAGTTACAATCACAATCATTTTATAAACATTAGTAATCAGGAGGTACAGAATTTTGCAAAGCGCAATAATTCCATGAATCATAGAATAAAAATAAAAAAATCTTTCATTGATTCTGAATGTGCAATGCACAATTCTTACTGTAGTAGTTATAAGCATAACGCAGCTAGATTTGATTAGCCAACTTCGATGAACATCGTTACATGAATTTTTTAACATTTAAGAGCAAAAAAGGCATTTTTTTTAAAAAAATTAAAAAAATTAAAAAAATTTGGCCTAAAATTTCGGGTTGGGTTCGATCGAGTTGAGTCAGGTCGGGTTCGGGTTGGGTTGAAGCTCTAACCCGACCTGTTCAGAGCACTACTCATTATTATAAATTTTGACAGGGAGTAGGATCGATTTTACTGTCACGTGATACTCAGAAAACAAACGTTGATGTGCTAAAAGCATCTTTTATATTTGGATTAGAGTTTTGGCTAAGGTTAGAAAGAAAAATAATATAGCAAAATTGCACAAGGAAAATTTTTTATTAGGACTCCAAGGATGGTTTACGAGACTAAATTTTGAGATAAATGCGATTTTTGCAAAGCGAACGTTTGTTTTGAATTTCTTTACGTTACACCTGATCCT